GTGAACCTGGCGTCACGCGTGCTGCCGTGTGTGACCCGGTGTAACAACGCGCACGTCCCCGTGTCCCGGTGTGCACTTCCCCGTGCAGCGGTGTGCACATCGCCACGAGCAGCGTGTCCCTGCCCCGCAGCGTGTCCCTGCCCCACAGCATGCGTGTTCCCGTGTGACAACGGGCGCGTGCCCTCGTGCATGAGCGTACATGGAGCTGTGTGTTGTGCCACAGGCTGTGCCCGTGTCCCTCCTCTGCTTGGGGACCTCGAGGACAACAAGACGAAAGCTGCCGTGTCCTGGAAGCCCCCAGCTATCCCCAGCAAGCTGGTGGCTCTTGCCCTGGGAAGCAAATCCCGTGCTGGGGCCTCATGGCTCCAGGGGCTGGGGTTCCCCCCAGCAACACCCCACTGTGTCACCAGCCACTCCAAGGATGGGAAATGCTATCCCAGTCTCAAGAAACCACTTCATGCTACAAGGGGAAAAAACCCCCTTCCATTGTGACCTGGGGCTCTACTGGCACCAAATGCGGGTGTGAGCAGAGCCAGTGTGGGGCAGCCAGGTGCCAAGGCAAAGGGTGCCATGGCAGGGCCACTCTGCTGCCACCAGGCTAGGTCCACACAGCAGCACTGCCAGGGCTGGCAGCCAGCGGTCCCTGCCTGCCCAGGCTGCCAGATCAATTCGCTATTAAACGGCACTTTATTACGCAGCCCAGCAATTGTTATTAAATGTGTGTGAGAGTAGAGACCCAGGGGAGCCAAGGGCCTCGTGTGAATATTGTGCCTGCCAGAGGAATCTGGGGACAGCTGCCCCTCCCTGCTGCTTTGCCTGCCTGCAGTGAGCTCAGCTGCCTGCCCTCGCCATCCCTCAGAAAGTGTCCCCCCTTCTTACTCCCAGCCATGGTGATGTGGGGAGAAATCAGCAGGCTTGGCAGGCCCTCCTCATATTTAATGCATTGAAGCACTGCCATTTTCTGCCTCCTTCTCAAGGCTTCTGCCTGCACGGGGCCCCTTTCCCCCACGCTGGGGACAGCGGGTCCCCAAGCTGCCTCATGCACAGCCAGCTTTCCCATCAGACTCTGAGAAGCTGGGCTAATTAGGGGCCTTGCTACTGTGGGATCAACGACCTGATTCCTTCAGCAGCTTCTTGATGGCAGGAGGCGGGGAGGGGGAAGGCTTTTCTCTAAGCCGCAGTCAGCGAGACAAATTTAACCAAGTGGAAGAGCTCAGAGCTTTCCCCATGTGTTCGTACCAGGAGAAGGCATGCCTGCACCTTCCCAGAGCCTGCAGGCAGCCTTATTGAGAACTGCAAGGGGTAAGGGAGAGGGCTGGAGACTGAGGCTATCCATGGAAAGCACATTGCTTTTCAAACCACACGTTTTCCCCACAGAGGCTGCTGCTCTTCCTACTGTGCTCTGCTCTATAGCCCCCTCACCTTCCCACAACCCTACAACTCCTGAAGGATGTGTGCCCACATCTGTGGGTTGGGAGAGCACTAACATAAGCCTGGCTAGATCAGGATTTATCCCTGGCTCCCCCAGCCCCTCCTGCTGTGAATCCCTCCTCAGATGATGCAGGGCAGGAGCGAGCAGGGAATCCCTCTGGCAGATGGCCAAAGGGACAGGGAGAATCCCCCCCTGCTCTATTTCACAACCCCAACCCCATGCACTTAGCTAAAGTG